GCGGGCGTGTGGAATACCAAAACGTAGCTGCACGACACGCACCAGCAGTGTCGAAAAGACCCAAAGTGTAGGGATCTTCACCAATCATGACAGTGACCGCATAGTTGTCAAAGACCTGCATTCGATGACGCGTAATCACCAAGTGTGAGCAGCGATGCATGTGCCGTCTTGGAGTCAACTGTCTACTCACAGTCGGCACATACTCTGCAACGCGATTGTACACATGTCGAGGCTCGCAATGTCAGCATCCGGATTCATGCTGCCTCAAGACACCCCCAAGCCTCGCAGCACGACGGCCGCTTTACGTTCAGTCGCAATACGCACCGCTTGGGAACTTGTTGGTGGTATAAGAGATCAGCAAACACGTCTATGCGGAGCAAGTGCAGAACGCCAATCAGCCTCATACTAAGCATCTGAAGAGCCGCAGGACATGAGGCAACATACTTTTCCAACCGCACCATCACCGACCACGACACACTTGATGGTCTGCATCGCGCCTCTCTTTTGCTTTCAGATGCAAAGAGTCGGAGTCTGCGTGCAAGAGGGACACAAAGGATGGGGGGGTCAGCAAGCCTGACTTTGGATCACGATGTAGCCGCAGACGTAGAGCGACTCTCGCGAGGCTAGACGAGTCAGTGCTGCTGGAGCCACAAGACTGGCCTCTCCCTGCCGCCTACACATCCATCCCGATCGCGTCAATCTCTGCAAGCTGAGCGAATCAATGCGCCAAAGCTCGAGATGTCGAAGGATCCCAGACCATACAGCGTCACGAGACATTGCACATCTGCACTCGCTCCCCAAGAGAGATTCTCAGATGCCACGCTGCGAGCATACAGGCACCATTCGCGTGACGAGCCGACCTTGCACCGGCCGCACCCCAGTGATGACGCATGATACTGGTCACCCAATCTGTTCGCACACAGACCACCTTTGGGTCCTTACTTCCCACCCGTGCCAGTCAAGTTTGGGCGATTCGACTGCGCTGACGCTTTCCAATCACCAGATTTGCAGAGCCCGCGCTGGTTTGGATGTGCCCAGAGCCACGCCGCTCTCCTATGAGACTGACCTTCTTTCCTGATGCTTCCTCAACTACGTCTTCCGATTGCGATACTGACCCTTCGTAAGTCCTTGATCAGCCAGCAGGAGCTCGATAGACACCGAGGCTGCGGGATTCTTGAAAGTTCGTCGAGCCAGTGATAAGCGAGGTCGATTGCAGAGGTCGCTCGTAGATGAGTCCAAAGTGACTCAGATAAGAGTTGCGAGATCTGCGATCGAGAGCTATGAGACGTCGATGAGATGTAGCTCGCTCGTTTGCCGAACGAAGGGATGCGAATGCGGAGGAATGGGAATTCACGAGTCAAAGTCAGAGTGAGTGTGAGGAGTGGTTCAACAGCGACCTCAAAGCGTCACGAGTGGATGGCGCACGCAAAGCCCAAGCAAGAAATGACGAATTCAGGAGATTCATTTCAACTTGTGCGTGCGTGTG